ACACGACGGCTGAAATCTCCAGCTCCAAGGCCATAGATAATTTGATTTCTCTGCTCTGATAAAGGCGAGCGCAAGGCCATAAACCCAGGGAAACACTGGTCAAATAGGAACAAAATCCTCCGTGTTTTATTTCTCCTCCAGGCTATGTATTATTAGTATTACTATTTTTCCCCCTCCCCACAGCCAATCCACTCGGCTCCCTGTCCTTTCGGGAGCACTAAATTCATTCATCCTGTGCATGCAAAGTGGGGCTTGTGCAGGGAAGCGCGCTGCGGTTCTCCCCAGCAGACGCATGCAAGGTCACAACCAGCCCTGCCATAAATTACAGCATGTCCCACCATAAACAGCACCAGGAGAGGGGAAGCGCGGCAGCTTCAGGGGCAGGGGCCTCCGGGGCCGATACATAACGTTGTGACAAGTCAAACAACTCTCAGGGTGTTCACTTGCCAGAGGAATATTTTTTACATCCAATCCATTAGGCAAAACGAGATGAAAAAGTATTTCCTACTTTGCTGAAAAAATACCAGGGCTCGGTATAAAGCGTGCCTTAAAAAAAGAGAGAAAAGAAATTAAGTGTGACCATCTATAATGTTTTTTTCCAGCGGCTCTGACAACATTCCAGGCATCCCGTCCGTGAAGGGAGGGAGCTGATGCTTTAAAGAGCTCTAACAGTTTCTCGCTTCTTGGAACAGTAATGAGTCAAATTAGCTGGAAAGGAACAACCCCAGAATTAGCTTCCCTCCCTCTAAACCCCCTCCAAACCCTGAACCAAACCCAGATCGTTTTCTGCTTTTCTTTTTCCCCTTCCTTTTCCCTGCCAGGTTGGTGGGGAACGTGTTCCCTGACACACTGCTTTTTAACCTACGAGATGATTTTTGAAATGAGAAGATCATCCCAAAGTTTGGCTTTCCCCCTGGCTGGCTTTTCCAAGAGTTCTGGACAAGTGAAAATCCAAAGAGAAAAGGCTTCTTCCAACTGTTCGACCACTTCTAGAACTGGCAACTGTCTCTGATGGGGAGACGCAGGGGAGTGGTGGAAGAGCAGCTCCGCAGACTGAGCGGCGGCTCCTCAGCCGGCCATTGGGAAATGAGCCTGTGGAACCAAAAGGATCACCCCAAACACGAGTTGTGTTTCTACTAAATTTTAATTTATTTCTTTTTTTATTTGACAAAGACATCTAAATTATACACTGAGTAACATGACCAGATATTGCAAATACTCCTTTTTGGTGAAATTCAAAAAGGGAACATAAAAGAAAGAGCTTGCGTGGACCAGGCCAGCTCAGGGAATGCAACAGCCGCCACCGTTTGCTTTTGCGGAGGAGAGAGCCCTATGGGGCAGAGGCGAGTTGGAGTGGGCTGGTCTCCTCCCAATACACTTAATAGAAAAAGTCTAGTGATCAGTTATAATTTAGACAGAGAAAAAGGTCTCTTTAATGTGCAAGAAGCAGTATTGGTAGGGGCCAAAATGGGAGAAGATTGCATGAGGCTTTGGCAGGCATTCTCCAAGGGCAAAGAGAGAGGACATCCTCCATCAGAGCTGCAGTCGGAGAAGGACAGCGCTCGTGGTCAGCACAGGGGTTTGGACTGCTTCCTGATGTGCCCTTGGAGAATTTTACTTCTCCATCATCTCTGCCCCGCCAAGAACACAGAGGGGCAGGAGAGGCATCGTTCATCTACCGCAAAGGTAAAACCACATTTAATGGTGTGAAAGTGAAGCAAGACAAACTCCCCACAGGAGGGGTATTAACCCCTGTGACAAGCTTTTTGAGGCCTGGGCTGGGACTGTCACCCTGAGCCTTTAAATCAAGGATGGGTGTTTTCCTGTCCAGGGTGCTCTAATTCAACCACAAGTCACCGTGCTGGCGGGGTGGCATTTAATGGGCTGTGTTACACGGGAGGGAGGTCAGGAGAGAGGAACAGAACGGTCCCTTCCGGCTTTAAACATCTATGAATTGATGCGATGCGCGGCAAAGCTCCTCCCATACCAATGAGACGGTTGGTTTGCTTCCCCTGAATCTCACTTAAAGGAGGGCAAAGCAGGCAGAGTTGGAAGGACAAAGCCTGGCGTATGCAGTTACCATAAGCCAAACGGGAGCTGAAGGGCTGCGAGAGGGGAATGGGTTTCTCTGCACAGCGGCAGGCATTTTGGGCTGGCCCCAGACAGTTTTGCAGGTAGTATTTAGCCAGGTGCTATTGAGGGTACCGAGCCAGGTGCTGCAGAGCGTACAGCAGATGTAAATACATTCAGATAAGGAGCAGCAAGTGAACAGAACCTCAAATCTTTTCACATTTTCACCAGGTGGATACATAGAGATGTTTACAATACAAAACGCAGTTGCAGCCATCACTGCAGGGTGATTTACTTGCATCATGGTCATTTTAACCCTCCACCTCCATCCTCCCTGCACAGCTCGCTCTAGCATGGTCTTGGTCTTCCTCTCTTACTACCTGGTGCAGATAAACCCAATTAATATACTGGATTATAGGTAAAGCCCTGGTTGGTAAAGATAACACAACCAGTTTGTGTAGCTACACGCAAACATAATGAATGAGCCAGCAAACACTTCTGGATCCTGAGTTCAGTAAGGCAATTTTTCCTCCCAAACTGGAGCGATAGGAAAATTGACTATATATATATTTTACACACGTTTCCAAGTTTAACTTGTGTGAGCCTAAAAAAAACCCCAAATTACCTTCCTGGATGTTTTTTGGATCTAGAAAGATAACTGTGGCACAGGGTAGGTTTGCCACTGGTCACAAAGTAGGGAGCACGGAAGCACCAACTCAATTCCTTTGCAGGTGAGACGGATCGAAGCCCGAGCCCCCAAAGGGACTTTGCTCTGTCCTGCCTGGGCCAGAGGAGGGGTACCCAAGCATTTCACTTTGCATCTGGCATGCAGTACAGGCAAATCCAAAGCTCAGGAGTAGCTCTCACAAAGCTCTGCTACTCAGCCAGCACAAAGCATGCCTACAAGAAAGGGCTGCAATTCTTTACAGTGCTTGCATCAAGCAAATGCATTAATTGCAAGGTAAAGGAGCTGCTGGGATGCATTATTTTCCTTGGGTTGACCCAGGAACACGCGGTGCTCAGATTCCTAGGCTTCCCGATAAGCCATTGCAGCTGGGGAGTCACTGAAGGAGCTCTGCTTAAATGAGCATCTCTCCTCATCTCATTGTAGGACTCCTTACTCAATCCATGCAGAGCTGGAGCTGTGTCACTCTGTCATTAGTGATTGCTTAACAGCTCACTTGAGCCTGCTCTTCCCCCTCCTCCCCAGTCGTCTGGATTTTAAAGCAAGGCTGTGCTACTCCGGCATGTGTGTCCTGCCTCGGCGCTGGAGACAGATGCACTCAGAGGGTGCTGACTCACGGACCCAGGCAGATTAAATTCGGATTGCTAAAGCAGTTGCTGTCCCAGCTGTCCCTCTGCCCCCAGCCACAGCACAGACAGCTGAGCTACACACAGATCAACCCCCAGACACTACTATAGACCCTGATGTATGGGGGGACCCAGAATCGGCCCCAGATGACTTTAATCTGCGGGGCTGTAACATGCAGGCAGCCAGAGGCTGCTTCATGTACAGTGCAGATGTTTCTGCCATGAGGTGGAGACGTCCAGGGGAAGGGAGGAGCAAAGAGCTGGGAGCTCCAGGGGTGTCAGCCGTCTGCCTGGGTCCATGAGTCAACTCGCTGACGCGTGGTGAAGCCACATGCTTTAGTACATGCAGCTTTCCCCACACTGCCCGCCGGTCTGTCTCCAAGAGGTGGAAGGGGTAATGCAGTCCCTAGTCATACTCTGGCCTTTCGCAGGCAGGCAGCAAACAAAGCTGGCAAGCAAGGCAGTGGGATTATTTTACCATCTGTGCATTAGAAACCAGCCCAGGAGTCACCAAGCTTGCTTCATGCAGGACATGGCTGCTTTGGCGTGCTAATGACTCCTGCTCACTGTCAGCTGGGGCTAGATTTGAACTGGGGATGAGGAGGTGGAAACCACATTCCCTTTCCTATTTCAGCAACTGCATCCTTTTAGAGCAAAGCCAGTTTGGAGAAGAATGAATCCTCGCTTTAAAGAGTGCTTCCCATCTGCTGTTCATCAGCATCCTCACCCTCCACCAGGACAATCCTGGGGGGACTGCAGGCCCTGGGCAGCCAGCCCACTGTGGGGCAGTCCTTGAGTCCCTTGAAGGGCTAGGCAAGGCCTGCTGAGGAAGTGGGGGTAGGAGAATATATTTTGCACGTTTCAAAAAGGAAACCTGGGACCTGGTATCTCATTCTATAAAGTAATCATGGACTTAATTGCGTTTTGCTGCAGAGTTGCCTTAACATCAAGGGAAAATCAACAGGGATTGTTCAACATCAAGACTAATCTCACACATGGAACTTATTGAACGTAGGAACCACGTTTTTGCTGGCTCAAGGTGAAATGTGAGGCTGAATTCTCCTTCAGCTGCGAGAAAAGCCCTAGGCACGCTCATCCTGCATTATTCCAACTGTAAAGAGCTTCAATTATACAGATATAACCCTTCCCTCCCTTCTTCAGCGGTGTCGCAATGCAACAGTGCCTCGTTATGATCAAACTCCTCTTTTATGGCTATAGGAATGTGTGGAAGTCTTTTACCCTCGTTACACAAATGACTCCTTAGCAGCTTTATTTTAAGAAACTACCCACAACTGGCAACACAACCGCATTTTATCTGTCACTGAGGGGAAGCTGTGACTGACACCTGAGCGTGTCCTCAGCAACTGCAGACCTGCATGTATAGGGCAGGTCCTATGCATCTAAGCAACTACAGCAACTCACCGCTCCCTCTGCACCACACTGAATCACAGTCTTGCTTCTGCTTACAAACTTGCTTGCTAAATAGACATTTAATACTATTTATGAATAGGGAGGAAATATAGAATTCCTTTATTGGGATTAAAAAACGATACTAAAGAGCAGGTCAAGTTCCAAATCCAGCAGTAGGTTTTAACCAGTGTTGTTCCCTTTTTTCTCTCTTTCTTTTTTTTCTTTTAACAGCTGTAGCTGTGCACAGATGGAAAAACATTTGGTCAGAAAGCAGCAAATTAGTGTTTTCAGGCTAGAATTCTGCTCCCACCGCTCCTCCATTTCCATGCAGCTCTGAACGCTTTATTTCTTCTTAGCATTGACATTTTTGCACACCCAATTCATGCCGTCCTTCAGACAGAGAAAGGTAACATTAGTCAAAGGAAGGGAAAAGGAATCCCCCCAATCCCATCCAGCCACTGTGTTCTGCCTCCTCATCCACCTCCTGCCTGCTCCCTGCACCCAAAACCACTGTGGGTTAAAAAAATAAGTGCTTCCTTGCTCAGCAGATGTTGTCACACAGAGCTTATTAAATCTTTCATCTGACCATAAAAAGCATCATCGTCTCATCATGTCACAATGTGTAGGTCCTTCGAGGAAGGATCACTTTGCAGTCGAGGTGCGTCAGTAGCAGATGAAGGCTCAGCTCCAGGTTCAGGTACAGATGATTTGTGTAACCTTGGGCAAGTCATCTTATCTTTTGAGACCGTGGATTTTAGGGGCCTGCTTGCTATACAGTCAGCTCCCTGCTAAGAATACGGCTCTAATTTTCTGCTCAGCTGCAAGCCTTGAAATCCAGATCCATGAAAGTCACTGCAATAACTGTATCTGGACCCTGCTCCCTGTTCCTCAGGGCCCCCACAGAAAATGAGTCCTCGGGGCTCCAAAGGGATTCAGTGAGAAGCAATGTTGTCATGTTTTAAGAAGCTGATATATTCTTTAGGCAGCTTTTCTGACCACAACAAGCAGGACAGTAGCACTTCTGCTGTGCATACCTGATTTGTGAGTTTATTGCTCATGCCACAGAATGGGATATGCTATTGAAGGCAAACCAACACTTTATCTGTTCCTGTCACTTAATGTATTAGGAAACACACACAACAGACAGCAAGATGCACAGTCTCCTCATATTTGTGCCTCATCAAACTCATTACCTTCACCGTGCCTACATGGTGTCTCTGCTGATAGGGAGGCACAGGGCAAAAGGTAGAGGTTTGGGGATGAGGGGAGCAGCACGTCTTTGTGCTTGGAAATTGGGCAAACATTACCTTAGAGTTCAGGGCAGGGGGATTTCACTGTATTATGTTCAGTGGCCATTTTTGGATAACTAAAATTATAATTAGACCTTAAAAAAAGATCAGAGCTTTTGGGCAAGCATCGTGGCTAGCCCCGTGTCAGCAGTGTTGCTGGCTTCCTGCACCCTTGTCCCCAGACTGCCAAGGCAGAGGGCCAAAGGCACAGCACAGCAAGACCTTTGGGAGAGCTGAGACCCACTGCCGTGCCTCCATGCTGCCCCTCAGCCACCAAGGTAGTGGCCATGTCAGAAGGGAGCTAAAGAGTTAAGAAGGAAGAGAGAGAGTCCTCAGGGCTTAATCAGAAGCAGAGAGGTTCTCACTTGAAAATACCAATTCACCTTGATAGCTGCGCTATGTGACACTTCTTATCTGAAGGGGAGCAGCAACTTTTGAAATCAGCCCTTGTTGCTGTGTTAAATAAAGAATAAGTGGGCCCAGCTTCTGCTGGGGTGCACATGAGGCCCTACGCTAATAACACTTCTAACTCTAACCTTGGAGAGGGTTGATGTCTCTAATTTCATTTATTTATCTCCACAGCAGAGATCAGCGTAAAACAAATTGTCTGAAATCCTCGGAGCAAATGGGAAAAGATGAGAGGTAGATTCATTTTAAGGCCCAGTAGCTCTGTGTCTTCCCCTTTCAATAACACTGATAACCTAGGTGTAAAACATGTAATGCCTTAAGCAATCAATAGCGTGGTTTAAAGCTTATCACTTTAGAGAGAGAGGGAGCAAGTGATTCCCAGCATGAGGAATGCCAGGGCTTAACAATGGGGCTAGGAGGAGAGGTGTCAAGCCTTTGGCTCGATTGTGTGCTTTAGAAATATGCATGATTGCCTGCAAAGAGTAAAAATAAATAAATAACTAAAAATGCTCCCACAATGATTCCAGCTTCCCCTGCCTCGGAAGCAATAATCACATTTGCACACATCATGGCATACAAGGCAAGCAGAGCTCCTCATTCATTTTGAATGTAGGTTTATTTGCTGAACCAGAACAGCTGAGACAGCTTAAAGTAATAAATATCAGCTGACACCCTCTGCTATTCAGCACAGTAATCCCAGAAACAATACATCACTGCAAAACAACAAACACGCATCCTATCTTCTACCTAATCTGACCACAACCTGAATTCACAGTGATTAAAACTCTGCCTGCTGCCATTTGGGAGCACGGGAAGGGGAAAGACAGACCGTTTCAGCACCAGCGTGGCGAGGGTCATAAAGCAGAGTTTATGATGGGATTTGCCATGGCTGGGAGCCTGGCTGCATCAAGCATTTAACGAGGGCAAAAGAATGACATAGCAAAACACAAGAGGAAAGGTGAACTCTAAACAGGCTTGAAATACGTAAGTAGGTCACCAAACTTTTATATCAGGGAGAGATTTTAAAAAACTCTCTTCTGGCATGAGTTATCCCACAGAAAAACTCACATTTAATTGTAAATATCTCCTTGTCTGACAGTGATAAAAAGAAAATGAATATGCTCAGCTCTACATGCGTTGTATCAGAGAGGTATGTGTGAGACACCTTCCTCACCTACAGCCACATCACAGCTACATCTGTAGCTTCTGGTGCACCTTTGTTGGGGGCGTGTGTTCTGCAGCATCCCCAAATGCTTTGGACGAATGGCAAATGCAATGGAGAACAAAAGAAACTAAAAGGTGCATTTGCAGTTTTTCTGCCTAAGGTTTGAGGCAGGAGGGTTGGTAAAATAGAGAAATCCAGGGAAGCTGACACAAACACAAAGAGCTGCTATGGAGAGGGCACACAGGAAGGACGAAATGGTGCTTGAAAGAGTGAAGCCCACAAGGAGTCAACTGTTGTCATCCTTTGCCTCTACACACTCTGTCCCTGCATCTGCATGCTTAAAAGATGGCTCTGTGCAGAAAGTACAGTCCCTACAGTAACATTTAGATCTTGATAGATGTCCTTGTGCTGCTTTGTTGAGACACAGAGACGTTGGCAGGTACTCTGAGGATGGAGACGGATACAATATTAGTATTCCAGCCTCAAGTCAACCCTGGGAAAACTTAGCCAAGGAAAGATTTCAGATCTTTTGGCTTTGCCTCTCTTAGCTCCTTAACAAGCAGCTAGTAAACTTTACCAGAGTAAAAAGAGAGAACTCCAGGGAAGGGGATAATGCTCCTTGCAGAGAAATGCTGCTCAGCACAACCCCGCCTTGCTGCAGTCACATCTGCTCTTGTGCCAAGGGAGTTGTACTCTTAACACCCTTTGGGAAAGGACTGGTAGAGCCTCCCTCAGGAGAAATAAAAAGTCCTGCTTGAGATTAGTCCACTGCTTGCTTATTCTTGGCATTATCAGCTTTGTGGTTATGGGAGTGAAGTAATCTGACTTCAAACACAGCGAACAAGTCCTTTCCACCCCATAAAAAGCCTCCCAATTTCTGCTCCCCTGCAAGCCAGGGATCAGGCAAGGCCACAAACTTATGACCCCTAACATGACCTTAAGGACAGCAAAGCTTAATCCTTTCATGTAATCCTCTGTCTGCCATAACAAATTGGGTCAGGCAAGTGCAAAATTCTCCATCTCCAGCATTTTTGGTATGCGTTATTTTAACTGTCACTTTCTTCTCCCAGTGCACATCTAGCACTGTGCCTTCATTATGTGTCATTTCTTTGCACCTCCAGTCATCATACAGGCTGGCTTTCATGGGCTCCTGCAAGTACATCATCTGTTGTCTTTTGCCTGGGTGCGAGCTTTTCTTTTGTCCTCTGAGACCTTGTATCCCTGATGCAGCACTGTAGACTCCCGCCTTATCCTTCTTAAAAAACACAAGACTTTGCCCTGTAATCGGGAAACATGGTTGTTTTTCCTCAACAAGTACTGGCTCTGCCTGCCCCAGGAGAGCTGTAGTCATTGAAATTGGTTTTAAATCACATTTATAAGTAGCTCCAGAACCTTATTAAGATGTAGAAGATCCCTCCCATCTAGCTTGCCCTGGCTATGACATCTTCAGGACAAAACCTAGCTCAGAGGATAGAGCATTGCTGGGGGTCCTGTTCTGAATCTTGAACTTATGAAAGTGCTGAATTGGAGCACGGGCGTAACTTTGGTCTTGGGCTTCAGTCTCAACTGGGTTGAAAGAGCCAGGAAGGAGCAGGCGGCTCAGCCCTTCCCACAGTCCTTTGGGCCAGACCAGCTCTGGCATAAATTAGAGAAGTTTAGTGGCTAGTCTCAGTTCCACTGCTTTTAGTGGTCTCCAGGGGACCATTATGCTTGGGAGACTCTGGATGCAATACACTGCAGCATCGTTCTGGAGGACGATTTCTAGGGGCAGGCTGAGCTCCTGCTGCCTTGATCGGAGACTCTTGCTTCATACAGGAAACAAGCTGCAGAGCATGGACCAGTCCAAAGCCTTGAGTCATGTTTAATACACATCCTGGCCCCTAAATAATGCTCCAGCAAGAGAGCAGACTGCAAAACAGAGGAGTCCTGCCTGCTTTCACCAAACCCCAGCCGACAAGAGTGAAATGTGCATAGCTCTTGCATGCCAAGGACTATAGTTGGAGATCTGGTCACAAAACACAGCCCCAAGAGCCTATGTGGCACCAGAGAGCTGCTGTGAGGCAACGGTTCCCTTACGTTTCTCTGCTGGCATTGATGATCACCCTCCTCACTTGCTGTATTCTGTGCAAGGGTCTCGGTGTAAGCTGGTGCAGGACTGTGCTCCAGAGGCAAGAGCCCAAGAGGCTGTGGTGAGGAGAAAAGGCTTTCCTACTTTTCTAACTAGGGCTGAAGGATAAAATCAGACCCAAGCAGACATTTTCCCTGAAAAAGCCTCTAAGCATGAGGAATGCCACTCTTCCCTCAATGGCGCCATGAAGTCTGACTAGCAAGGCAAGTGCTGCCCACAGTGACAGTCAGAAGGTAATGAAGTCTTCAGCTGTGTAAAAGGCTGCCAGCTGGTGTCCAGAGGACACTACATGGGTTCCAGTTAACCCGGTCACCTCTCTTCTGAGCCTGCCCAGGACATTGCTGGGCTCCTTTTCCAGAGCCCCCAATGGTTAATTTTAAAATAGAAGATGACAATATGGATTCCCTCCTTAATTAACAGTTTTATTAAATAACCCATTTCAAATAATAGTTAAATTCTCTAAATTTATATCATTCTATTAACCATAATCTAATCTCATTAACCTTGAAATTCCCAGTCTTAACTACCCAATTCTGTACACCATGGTGCTAGCAGCTAAACTAATTAAATGACCTTCAAACTATTTCTCCTTCATGTATTGGCATTATTTATCTTTGTTCATTGCTCTTCCTTCAAGCTATCACAAAAATCTTCCCCTATGAACTCTTCCTGCATGTACTCAGTACTAGATATGCCACCATTCTTCCTTGCAAAATCCGTCAGCGATGTCTCCAATTTTCCTCTAGCTAATACATTCCATCAGTGGTGATGGTTAAGTGTGCTCGTTCCTTGGCTTTCATTCTGAGTACCTGATGCTTCCACATCTTCATTTATTTTGCTGTCACTCATTGTCATTTCTCAAAGAAGTCCTCAAAGCAGTGACCTGAGATTTAACCACATATAGAGAGCTCCTGTTCACAGCCACTGGTACAGATATTGTGTACCGTGACCTTCAAAAATATCTTCCTTAATCTCACTCTCTAAACAAGTTCTTGTTTCCCCTAAATTTTCAGCATGTTGACCTCTTCTCAGAGTCCCAGGACTGAAGATGCCATTTCTTCCTATGCTGATCCAGGTTTAATTTAAAAGCCATCTCCCAGACCATTTTATTCAATGAATTTCCAAGGCAAGGGAGAGCTTGACATTCTTGCTGTCTAATTTGACAGGGCTGGAGTTATAGCAGAAGAGAAATGTAGAGGCTATTCTTCTATAAGCTGTAAAGAGTTTGTGACTTCCCTGACCTTTCAGCAATAATCATTTAGGGAATAAGCTGCAGTATTTAGGGCAATGAGACTTCTGACAACAAAGTGAAACGTTATCTGGCCTGCATCTAAATTAATTTGTCTAGATAAGCATGATGAACAAAATATATAGGCCTATAAATACTTGTATTTAGCTCATCTTCTTTTTTCTGGAAGTGAATGCAGCAGCAGATTTCATTTCCCCAGTAGAGGGTATTGGGCTGCATATTTTACTCTATTGAATGTATAGGGAAGCACTGTACTTCAAGAAGGCGGCACAGTAAGAAGGTGCTATCAATGAAGAAGTGTGCAGCCCACTCCAAAGAGCCCACTGATCAGCTTCAGAAGGAAGCATTTTTCCAAGCTCACAAACAGAAAGTGCCACTTCCTATCTTCTAGTTCTTCCACATCCAACACACATCTCTGAATTTTCATCTGCCACTTTACTGCCCCTTTGCAGCTGGAGAGCTCAGTTGCACTTCCATAAACTAAAGGAGGGCCTGGAGGAGGGAAGGAGGTGACCTGTGGCTGCCTGCGACTCTGTGAACTGCAGCCCCACTTTCCTGATCACATTCCTTTGGCATATATGCTGCTACTGTGGAATGCCTTTCGCTCTACCACCACCTCTTCGAAATAAACATGAGTTGAAGCCTTTCACAAGATTGGCTGCAACACAGCTGAATTTGCATCTTAGCTAACTAAATGAAGGCATTTTGGAGGACACCATCTACTATGTTTAAGTCTAAACATCTGGTAAGAATTTTAAATCAGAACTGCTGTACTGGGTCAGACCAATGGTCCATCCAGGCCAGCACTCCCTCTGGATGCCATGGGAAAGAACGTGTAGGAACAGGATCTCCTTTGCTCTCTTCTATCCTCCCAGGTCATGGGCCAATCTGTTCCTCATTCAAAAGCTGCCTACAGATCTTAGTGGTCAAAGGTTGCCTGCAGATCTCTTCTTCCGAAATTCACTCTGTTTTTCTGAACCGACTGATACCTTTGGTCTGCACAACATCCTGTTCCAATGAGATCCACAATTTAATTACACAACTGGCAAAGAAGCACTTACTTTTATTTATTTTAAGCTGCTGATTATTCCATTAGGAACACCCTTCCTCTAGCAACGTGAAAAATAGCACATAGTCGATCTGACATTTTTATACCTTATTTTATAAATCCTGAAGATGTTCCCATTCCCTGTCCTCTCTCTTCAAAGCTGCAAGTTCTAATTTATTTATTATCCCTGGGTATAGATGCCACTCTGTGCTACTGATCATTCTCAACAGAGGATTCTCAAATCCCTCCTAATTCTGAGCAGATATAAGGACAGTATTTTTTCTGATGAGGGCAGTTAAGCGCTAGAAGAGCTTATCCAGAGAAGCTGTAGCATGTCCATGCCTGGAGATATTAATAACTTGATTGGACAAGGCCCTCAGGAACCTCCTTCAGACTCACAGTTCTCCCCGCTTTAAACATGAGCTTGGTCTAACGATCTGAAGACTCTTCAACCTAATTTTTGTTGGACTCTCTGATTCCACTACTACTAAACTCTTTTTCAATGAGGCAGATGCAGAAATGAATGTAATACTCAAGGTATGGGCCCACGATTCCTTTATCCTGTTACAAAAGATGTTTCTTGTTTGCCTTCTGATAATTGCCTAGCATTTGATTTTCCTCTCTGGCATTTGACAAGCACTAAGCTGCTATTCCCAATGATATGCTTCTGAATAATGGCAGCTCATCTGAGTCCATCATTGTATGTGTATAGTTAAGATTGTTGTTCCTCATGTGCATTACTTTGCACTTGTCAACACTGAATTTCATCTGCCATCTTACTGCCCACTCAGTATTGTGGGCTGCTTCTGTGACTCTTCATACTCATCTTGAGATCTGACTATCCTGAACAGCTCTGTAGCATCTGCGAATAAGGTTTTACTGAAACTGCAACAAAGATAAATCTCTTCACCATTCTGTTTCTTTAAATACCAGTGAAGGGAGTACTCCCGACTGCTTGGATTGTGAGCACTGCAAATATTTCATTAATTCAGGAAAGCCTAAGAGTGAAATAAACAAACCTAGGTCCCATTTACATTACAAAGAGCTACTATACTGCAGAACTGGCTACAGCACACGAGCCCAAGACACAGCTATTACAGTTCAGCACAGGAATACAGCTCAGCCCCCTCAGGGTGGGGTTTGCTGCCCCACATGCTGCCATTATAAGTGGTCCTTGCCCCATGTACAACTCTTGTGTTTCTCTGGATCAGAAAAATTGAACATTTTCTCTCTGGCATCTGGGTTGAACAAAATGCCAAATGACATTAGTAGCAGAGGTAAATCAGTTTCTAAAGCACACACTTTTAACAGTCAAAGGGGTTAACAGTAGAAGATGATTTGTTTTGTGAAAATGATTAACCTGACAGCAGTCTCTTTAAAACGAATCAATGCCTTCATTTGGCCCAGCCAAGGGTCCTGGGTGGGGATGTAATCGCTCTCCCCCTTCCCAGGGATGTGCGCCCACAGCTCCCCCTTCCCTTTGCCCAGGCAATGAGACACGTGCCCCGTGTTCTGCACCGCAAGGGTTTGGCTGCGCTGACCCTCCTTCATGAGGCAGCCGGTCCAGCCCCACCCTGCGTATCAACACACAACCATCTCTTACAGATGGCCTGCTGGCACAGCAAGCCTTCTCCAGAGCCTCACCTGTACTCCCTCTCCTGAAAGAGCTGAACAAGACTGGATCTGCCAGACTCTGTCCCGGATTGTGTGTAGGTTCAGTCCCTCAGCAATCTCTGAAGCAGGGGCAGCCGTCAGCAAATCCTGCTTGTTAGCGAATATGAGCACTGGGACTCCACTAAGCTTTTCTTCATCCAAAAGCTCAGCCAGCTCCTGTATCATTTACAAAGGAGTGGGGTGGGGGGAAGATGGAGAGAGGGAAGGGAAGAAAATCTTCAACCACCAGCGGTTGTCTCTAATTAGAAATATATTTAGGGCAAATGCTAGAAAAGCATGTTCCAGTGAAACCTAGATCTTATTATAAGAGCGCAAAAATGTATACAATCATCTCTGCCCAAGGTTCAAAAGCTATTTCTTCCAATTACAGGTTACAAAAATCTTCATCTTAGCCTGAAATTAGCAGTTGCCTTAAAGGCTACAACTCTGTGTTTTACCAGTCCTGTTCCCAGGAGACCAAAATTGATGAAACAGCAAAAAACATGTAAATTGGCAGTTATGAGGAATCTCTCTTAAGTTGCTGCCTGACTGGCATTTGTACCTGAGCAGCCGTTGACACCAGCCCTGATATCTTTGCTAACAGTGAGTTTCAGAGGTTTGTTCCAAGTTTTATACACTGCCATTTGAGCGGGAGAGGACTTTTTTCATCCCCAGAAATGGAAATCTCCCTCCCACAAGAAAGTGCTTTTGAAGGCATTGGCTGGCTGAAGACAAGCTAGATCAGCTTTACTAGCTGGATTTTGGCTCCATATGCACAGCACACATCGGGTGGCATCTTGAGAAATGAGTTTGTTCATTCAAAGCTGTGTGACTCAAAGAGATTTTTTTAATAGCTCAAATCTGAATCTGCAGTGGATCAACGATGGCTGAAATGCTTCATGTCAAGCACATAGTCTCAAGTCACTTCCTTGTGTGAAGATATGACAAACCCAGCAGAACTTGACCCTGTAAGGACTGCTGGCATTGCAGATAGATGAGTACTTGAGGGTTTTGTGGGCTCCCTATTTAGCTGAAAAGGTCTCATGCTTTCAGATACTGTCCTAACATCTTTCATCCACTGGCTAGAAACTTTTGGGTTAAATGGGTGCAGCTGGGGAGATGCTAAACTGCAACAGAAATCTGACTCCATCACCCCAAAAGCAATGTTTGGTTTGGAAACCAGGATAAGAGAATGGAGTTATAAACAGAGTTGGCTGAGAAGTTTTCAACAAAATAGGTCTTTCATCTGACATGGCTGATTTATTGAAACTAAAAGTGTTTGTGGAAATACACGGGGTCCAGGCTGACTCCACCTGACTCAGGCAAGTGCTCTAAGCTTCTGCTTTCTCTCCCTCTCTTTTGCCCAATGAGTATTTAATTGCTGCCATAAAATGAAATAGCTCCAGCAGGGGAAAGATTCCCCCCACCCCTAGAACAACCAACAGTTCTACAGTTAGGGTCTACCCATGATACTCGAGAGGCAAAAGATCAAGTGCCTCCTTCAAATCAGACAGAACAGAGGGCTTTAATACAAATCTCCCATTTCTGAGGGGTAAATCTGTTGCTAGCTGTTCTGGGACCATGTCACTTCCTGAATTTTACAAAAGAAAGTTCAAAAGTCCTATTTTTGTTCTATCCTAAAACACAAAATGTTACAAAAGATCAAAACTTTGCAAAATGGAAATCTTATTTTCTGGCCAGTCTTAGTTAGAAAGTTCTTAAATTGGTTTTTTGTTTTTTTTTTCAGTTACATCCAAAAGACAATCAAGTCAATATGATTTCCATTTCAACTTTGTAAATACGAAAATAGGATTCCTCAGGGTCTTGGTTTGGCAAGGTTTAAAGGACTTACAGAAGTTTTTTGCTTTCAGTCTTAGGCTCCATTTGCTATTATTGTATAACTTCAATGAAAACCGTTCTATTTAAAAGGAATTAGGCTACCTATTTTCCTTGTCTCACATCTACCAAAATAATCTGCATTGATGTTGAAAGGCAAGTCTCTTGAAATGCAAATTTCCCCCATAAACAACAAAATCATCTTCCTAACTTTTGTGAGCAAGGGGCACTCAGAAGCACTGAATTACTTCAAAGGAAGCTGGGCATAAGTAACTTACCTGACCCGTTTCTTCAAACCTCTTCCTGTCTGCACTGTCAATGACATAGATCTGAAAAAGGAATGAGAGGAGAAGTTACTCTTCCCAGAAGACACTCTTCCACAATATCACGTGCTTAAGTGAGCTGAACCTAATGATTATGCTTTTGGGCACAAAGATTCCCAGCATTATTTATAGCAAAATTTGACAAAACTTCAAGATGCTCTGAAAGGAGAGGAACCACCTCTTCTGAAGCTGGGGGGGTGGACAGCCACGTGGGTAGGATCAGAAGGGAGCTGGGGGCAGCACTGAGGATGCTCTCACCATCTCCACAGCATTTATTATCTGAAGAGAACAGGAGACTTCCTGGTATCTTTTCAAATGAACAGCTTACAAGCTGAAGCTGAGCACAGGAGGACAAAACATGGGGAGCCGGACATGGTCTCGCAAACAGTGTACAACCACTACACTGGTGTGACTATGCCATGCTGCCCTCTAGCAGGACCCATCACCTCCTCAATAAGCCATCAAGGCACACAATGGCACTTGGGGCAGGTGAATATATTTAGGACACCAAGTTCCTCTCCATCAAGTGGTCCTACTGCAATCTCCTGGAGGAGGTGGTTGGGGAGAAGGGCTGGATACAGCCTGTGAGACTCCCATCTTCAGCCACCACGTTGTCCACCAGGATGATGGTCTAGTGGGAGGTGTCCCTGCCCATGGCAGGAGGGGCTGGAACTAGATGATCTTAGATGATCTCAAGGTCCTTTCCAACCCAAACCAATCTATGATTCTACAATGGAGAAAAAAGGGAGCAGCTGCCTTATGAAGACTGACAACACAGTTCTGCCACCCTCTAAGGGCTGGGCATCACATTTCATGGCCCACAAGGAGGTTCCAACCAGACACTTATCCCCTGGTAAAGAGAAGGGTGCCTCCCAGCTTGGAGGCTCCCTGCCTTGGGAGCGGCTCTCCACCCTCCCCAATAGCATGGCATGTGCCCATTTCTTTCTGTAAATGCAAATGAGACCTCAGTGAAGGCAGCTCTAGGCCTTCACAGGCTAAAAGGCTCCTCAAAGGTCCCCCTAAATATATACTTAGTAAGTTCAGCCACCCTCCTTACCCCTCGCAATGCTATTGCTGTTCAGATTGCACAAGTATCAAGCTGCATCTAAAGAAACAGGGAACCTCAGTATAACACTTGGGCAAGAATAACCTGGTATCCCTTTTTCATTATGTGGTAGGGGAAGGTTTTTGAAGGAGGAGGGTGCTGGGAAAGCAAAAAGGGACAGGACTGGTGACAAACACCAAGCATTTTGCTTCCAGTCCCTGCCATTCCCTATCAGCAGTGATTGAAGCTGCTAGCATGTCATCTGCATGCTCTTTGGTGGCTTACAGGGAGCAAGTGTCAGCCTGGTTTTCAGGGAATAGATGAGCACAGCACCCCGCCATCAAGATAAATGGCATCCTTGCAAGCAGTCTCAGCATAAGACTCCATGCTTCCAGGATAATTCTGACCAAATAGTAGGGGGAGGGAAGATCTCTAGCAGCAATATCTATTAAACTGTAGGCACCCCCTTAATGAGCAGTGTTACATTTGTTTGAAATGGGACCAAACACGCAGGAGGAGAATCTACGCCAGAGCTGAGGAGGTAACCCAGCACCTCACAGACCTCTCTGTTCATCCCTCGGGGTCTGTGGTCCCCCCAGGCCAGGCTGACACACACACTGACAGAGGCTGAGGGACACGTGGCAGGGCTGGATGCAGCTGCATGGTGGGGATGCGTCAGCAGTGCATGCTCTTGGAGCCACGTGATGGGGAAAGGCACACTGTGACACACAGCCTCTCCCCACAATGGGATCCCAAGCATGGGCTCCAATACTGTGTCAGCTATGCCTGTCCTCTCTGCTCTTCCCAAGCATCCACCCTGTGCATCCTATCTGGGGTATGAAACACCAAAAGAGGAAGCTGCAGTGCAGTTGTGCTCTGGGGTGAAACAGGACTGTCATCTGTCCTCCTTTGGGACAACTCTGGGGAAGCTTAGCAACACATGAATGCAACAGTTAAGTGCTTTCTCAACCGCAAGTCAGCACCTCCTCTATTACGGTGCTTCTGTAACTGGCAAGGCAGAGCTCTGAGCCCCAACTAGCCAGGCTTTCCCCTGCACCGCTCCCGTTCCTTGCTAGGGAGCTGTTTTGCAAGATGAGAAGTGGATACAACAGTGCTCCGGGCAAAAGCCACAAAAGCACAGCACAGAGAAGGTAAAGTATGTGCAGAGTGCCTGCTTCCAACCCAGAAAGCACTGTGCCAAATAGCTGCAGGTGCCTCTCTGAATATGCAATCAGCCAGATATCCACACCTTATTTGCCTGGGTTAAGCTTCCAAATATCACAGGTGTGTGATGCAAGACCAAGCTCTCATTCAAAGGCACCTGCATGGATTTGAATTTGCAATCACTTCCTGCTTTTTAATACTCCTTAGAGGATCCTTTCTGCTTTGTGCAATACAGTTTAAGAGAAGGCAGAAGCAGGGGGTCCTGGGAACTGTAGTGTGTCTCATCTCCACCTTCCTTCTATACCCAGGGCCACACAAGAGCCTGTTTCTGGCTGTGGTGCTCAGTAGCACAGTTGGCCACTTTGAACAGCCACCAAGTACAGCTTGTTGGAGAAATGGAGCTTGAGAAATTCCTGTAAATTGGGTGCCTCCTTAGAGCAACATGCCAAAACAAAACCTGGAGTAAGTGGGTTGGGCAGAAATTACAAGTAGTGGGACTGGATGAAGAAATAACAGGAGGGATAAATGGGCTTAATTTACAGATGCACAACCTGCACCGGGTTTGTCTGAGGATAAAATTATTGGCTAGAACAGGGGTGAGGGCTAGTAAAAGACAGAGCATCATCAGCACATACTTGATCCCAGTTTTCGTGTGTATGGACATAGCAAAGCACTGCACTGACATGCTGACAGCTCCCAGTCTGCGGCTGGCTGTCAGCACAGAGTACAAGCAGGGGAGCTTAGGTCCAGCAGCGCACCAGTTACTCCCTCTGCATTCACACTGCTGCTTGCCCCAAAGTGATTCTGCTTCTACCTACCCATTTTCATACTCACATGAAAATAAGGGTTTTCTCTGTACATTGTTTTAACTGGGGTAGGAAGAGGGCAGGGAAAACAACTGCTTTCATCTCCTTCAGTCTTCAAATTCACCTTTATTTCTGCACCTCCCATGCAGCATACGCTGGGAAAGGTAGAAGCCCACAGGCCAGTGTAGCTCATTGTCTTTGCCAGCAGTCTTCCAGATACTGTTTTGTGGTTGTACTGTCTCTGCAGCACCTGCCATAGCAGGCAAGGAACCCTGGCTGCTGCTCTGCAGCGTTGACTTCGATCTGCACACCTACTGCCGCCCCGCCACATGCAGTTATAGAGCTTGGACTCAATGGACACAACCACCTCACAGCCATGCCATGTCCCCTTCTCAATGGCCACAGAGGAGCATGCAAAGTGTGTCCTGCCAGTTTCTCAAACCCAGATCTTTCCATTACTCTTTGCAAAAGCAACCAACTGGGTTTGTGCTCTGGTGGCTGTCCCTCAAACATCAGATTCCAAATTAAGGCTGAGAAGGGGGAATCTGCAAAAGAGATCACTGGGGGTTTATTAGTACCATTTAAATAACAGCTTCATTTGGACAATGTTTTCTAAACCTGCAGGCACAGCCAGGTCCTTCAGGACCATGACATGAGCCTTGGAGTAGACTCCTATTCCTAGTTCCGCTGATCCTTCTGTGGAAGTGCACGGAAGCTCCCAATACATCAGTATGTGTGTGACAGAAGGGAGTCTTTCCGAGAGAGCTTCCCGCTTTCCCATGGGAGCCCTGCAGTCCTTGCCTTTTCTGTGTTCCCTCAGGCAACATTGCTTGGGCTGGGGAGAGGCCTGGAGCCCCTGCCCTGCCTTCACCCTGGCACAGGTGTGCTAGAGGTGGTATTTGAAACTACTCAGGGCAGCCCTTGGAGGGTCCCAGGGTAACATGCTCTGGCATGGAAAGACAAAGGTCCTGCACCATAAATACAACTGTAGTAATCTGTAGCTAATTCTAAGGTAATTACAGCTAACTTGTAAAAAACATTAAAGGACAGTCTAACGATTATAAAGGAGCAAAAGAAAAGACAAGGGGTCTCTCTGTGCCCCTCAGCCAGAAGCTTTCCCATCTGATGCAAGATGTAGCATTGAATTCTGCTGTGCCTCAGTTTCCCCAACTAGAAAACAAAGGCACTACACTGACCTACCTCTACACATGAGGCTTAAGTCACTAATGCCCATGACATTAGTGACAGGCCTTCAGAGTCTCCAGTGAAAGGAGCTATAGATGGGTATACTACAAGTTATTAATGTTCTTTCATCTGAAGGAGACATAGATGAGAGGAAAGGAACTGCCTATAACCAGCACCATCCTGTGAAAGTAAAAAAATGCAACTGAATGATTTCTCCAAACATCACTGTATTTTTCTTACTGCACCCAACCAATCTTGCCATTTCACTTAGAGTAACTCCTGTTACAATGGCAATGGTGTTGCTGAGGACTCGGACATTACATTACTTGTTCCTGAATTTCTGGCTGAGACCTTGGAAAGCCATTGCATGAACACAGCATTCAATTGCAGCCAATACTCACAAGGACATCAGTGTTTTCAAAATAGTTCCTCCAGTACGGCCTGATCTTCCTCTGTCCGCCTATGTCCCATACATTCAGCTTGAAGCCTTGAGACTGTACACTTTTGATGTTAAAGCCCTGGAAAGAGCAGAAACAAAGCCATATAGAGCATAAAGCTGAATGGCTGGAGCACGTTCATAGGCAGACATTAACACCTTATATATCCCATGCCTGCAATGTGCAGCAAGATGGGCTGGGCAGCCATAAAGATGGATCAGCTGTGGGAGAGACACTGGTGAAAGTGAATACAGGCGCCAAACCATCAGTTTGCCAGTGTTCTTGGGTCAAGGGTGGATGCTGTCATGGCTATGGAGACATATGATGCAGTTAGTGCCCTGGGAGGACTCAGCAGGGTGGGTGCAGGAAGAGCTGTAGATAAGGAAAAAACAAGGGCGCTGTGAGAAGCAGGACTGAGCTTGTGAAAGCTGAGTAGAGAGTCCCAGCTAACACGAAGCCAGAGGTCTCTGCTCAATTCGACACGACACAGCTAATGCTGGGCTTAAAAGAGCAACAGCTGCATGTCTGAAGGGTCCATTTCATCAATTAGAACACCAACTGAAAGTGCATTCAAGTAGAAAAACAGGATGTGGCGTGGGCTGGCAACGTGCTGCCACACCACCCAGGGGACTGGGGCTTGGAATTGGGGTATCAGGGCTGGGAGTTTTGGGAGGCAGCTATGGGGTGGGGGGAAGCATCTCCCATAGCTCTCTAGCAACCTCCTCTGGTCAACATAGGAGCAATGCTGCAGTGCTTCTCATGGGAGACATCTTTCTCCCCAACCCCGAGGCTCAAAGAAAGAGCACCAGAGGCATCGGAGAGGGAGTGCTGGAATATGCAGGACCCTCAGAGCTGACTGGCTGAAAGACGGAAGGAGACAGGGGCTTGCCCAGTGCTGCAGCATCACCTGTACATGTCCCCTGTTTGGCAAGGACAACAGGAACAAAGTCTTGTCCATGGAACCCTAGCATGACCCAAAAGCCTTCTGCAGAATAGCACAGCACTCATCCACTTTTACACTACCTGACAGATCTGGCCTGATGTTCTCTGGCTCCTTCAGGGAGCCTCCTCTTATTCAGAAAACACACACACTTAATGGCGCCCCAGGCTCCAGTTGCTCCCCCGTTCACTGAAATACTCTGCTGAATCATTAGTGTTTTGTATAATAAGGCAGGTGGGACCACAAGAACCACTTTGGGCAGAAAAAGGCCTTCCTCACCTGTGTTGGCGTGATGTGGCTGATGTCCTCAGATGCCAGCTGTTTCAGGAGTGTTGTCTTGCCTGCATTATCCAGTCCCAAGAGGAGGATTCTCACCTCCTGGTCTGGGGCACTTTTCAGTTTACGCAAGATTGACAGTAAACCCTAAATCCACAAGAGAGACTGTAGGTGTTATTTGCACCCCACCATGCCATGCCCTCCTCCCTTGAAATGGGTTCTCTATGGCAATGGATCCCAGGACACACTGAACCCCTTCCTTCAGTCCCTATTCCCATTTTCTCTTCTTCTCCTCCCCCTCACCTCTTAATTTTCCTTCATCTCAGAGAGTATCGACAAGGTCTCAGACAGCACAAATGTCTCTCAGTGGGGTGCACCACTGGCTGCATTGCTCGTCACACAGCTGTTCGGCATTACCTGTGCCAGGAGGACAGTGCCTACGCATATCACGTGTAGGATCTGCAAACCAAGTACTTGCGAACACTTCATTATCTTTATCAGAGGGAAAACCCCATTAATTTAATCTCCCTCCTTGTTAACTGCAGGTTACTATGTACCTGACATCAGTTCTTTTCATAGTAACTCCCTGATCATCTCAAACCCCGTTTATCTGTCTAAAACATGCTGGACCCATGGGGCACATGCAGTTCTGGTTCTCAGGATGTAACACTTAACAACTATCTCAGATCACCACACATGCTCGCTAAGAAAAGCACAGTGGATTTCAGTCATTAGCCAGGCTCAGCTCTCTGAGCTGACAGTATCACTCAGGATTAGGAAACAGAATATGCAGGTCAGCTCATTTACAACCACATGCATCCCAGCAGCACACCCAAGCTTTTGTCAGTGCTGCCCCTCAGAGACCTGCACCTCTCTAAAAAGGCTGGAAAAATACTCTAGATCCTGGCATGTAACCGAGAGCTACAAATCACCCCACTTCCAGCTGCCTCTGGCTGCCCAGCGGCTGAGGAGAGGGGCAGTTGCAGCCAAGGGCATGGGAGCAGGCTGTGAATCCGTGACTGCCTGTGTGTCCTTGGACACGTTGCTGCACTGCTCCTCAGAGCCTGAGCAGCACACACCACAATGAGACCCAGCCTAGGGACCCAGATGCTCTTGCAACTGATTTCCTTGAGCAAGTCCAGGAGAGAAATACACCTACAGCCCCTTCCACAGCCCTCAGGACTCCTGCTTGGTCTCTCCCAGCCAATTCCCATGTTGAAGCCCACTAAGACCCAGAGCCAGAAATAAAGTTCAAGTATCAGTACAAACCTGGGCCCACAGGGGCCCATCATCTCTCAAGCTTTTTTGTTCTCCTGTTTGCAAAATGGAGACAATGCTTCTTGTCAACCTGCAAGGGTGAATCAGTTAAATGCCACAAAGCACTCTGTTGCTATGAGGAACTACGCCCTCTAAATATTCCTGCAAAAAAAGGACTATTTGAGCTGTGAAGGTTCCTCCCAATCCCCTCCAGATCACGGCAATCTTGTCCTCAAGATGAAGAGCTGCAGGATGTGGCACGACTGTCACCGCTGCAGCATGGCTGAGGCAATGCCCTTCTCCCAGCTCCTGGAGAGCCCCATCTCAGCACTTTAGGAACCGCCACTTCCCACTGTTCCTCACACCGCTCCGAACCGGGGAGTGCTTGGAAAGGACACACCACTACAGGTCACAATGCCAAAGCTTTCAACAGTGCACCAAGAATCAAAAGCACTTGAGACTCAATCCAACCCTCTGAGCATTTTTGATTTAAAAGTAATTTATTGGTTTTCCATTTAATCACCACAGACAGCTCAAAATACATTCATGATGTGTAATAAAACAGGGAGAAGAGATGGAACTTGGTAAAAATGGGTCTGAATGATATCTGTAGAAAGCCGCAGGACTGCCACTGTTGCTGTGCTTTTAAAAAGCACTGTGGAAAGCCGAGGTTCCGAAATTCAGAGCTGGTGCAAGGAACAGCAAAATTGCAGTCTCACAGCCCAGTAAGCAGGCTCAGGGGATCACCTATTGCACAAACAGGCTGGCAAAAACCTGGGAATCCAGGCTGCACTCGAGCTGTTAACCAGGAACAGGCTCTGCTTGGTAGAGGGTACCATGCCTCACCGTACATCCCCAAACTGCTTGTAGCCGAAGCACACAGGCCTGTAACATCACTTGCTGAGCCCTGAGGGCCAGATGCTCACAGCTGGCTCTCCCCATGGGCCATAGCTAATGGATTTGGAGGGCTGTGCTCACATAGCCAGGGGAAAGCCCTCCCAGCCCAGGAGCTCATCTCTGCAGCACAGTGCCCAGCCCATGTTCTACCCCGATGACGGTCTACTTCCACACGCCCAAAGGGAAAGGAACAGCAGCAGAAATACCTCTCATGCTTACTTGTTTACACGTATGTCCTGACTGCCCTTGACATCATTAAAAAACACAAGTTTTCACTGCATGACTAGCAACACATTTTCCTTTCACCTGCAGTCACATTTACAGTTGTGTTTGTTGGCTTGTAAATCCACAGATTTCAGCTTGGTGTGGACGACCCCACTGGAGCAGGAAGTCTAAAATTTACACATTCTCTCTCCTTTCCAGGGAAACACTGAATTCCCCATTCTTATGGGCCTGACCCAAAGCCAATGCACACCAGCCAAAGTACCACTGGCCACTTCAGAGAGCTCTGAATCAGGCCCTATTCTTTCAGTTTATTGCTCACAGTTAAAAAAGGAAGCTGTTGAAATGCTAATCCTATTCACAGCACCACTTGCTAAGTGCAGAGCAGTGTATCCCAGAGCAGATCAGGATTAGGAGCCTTTATGTTTCAGAATTCAACTCCAAAATACCAAGCGCAAAGAAATGTATTACAAAGTATTGCTTATCTTCCACAGAGCAATTCTCAGGGGTCTCAGGGAAGAGGAACAGTTGTAAATGTTAATAGAGCTTCTCCCATTGTAGATGGATGCTATTTCTGGGCCAGTATGACAGCCTATGAGAAAACGATCAGCATCGTTCCATATTCTACTCAAGTGACACTGCTGCATGGCTGATCACAGGATTATCTGGGGTAGCCAATAGAAGCAAGGATATATATAGAAATAAAAGTATTCTCTAAGGTATAAAGTAAGCTGATTTAAAAGGCTGGAAGACAAGCAAGCCAACATAGAGAAGTGGACTTTATTTCAGTAGCTGCCAGCATAGGTTACATGGTCTGCATATACAACTTAAATCAAGAGCCAAATAATAGTATTGGTTACTACAATTGTTACTATTTTGTAAATATTATTTAAAGCTTGCAACCAGCATTCTCCCTGTACTTGGTGAAGATTTAAATGAAGGAAAGCCATGCACAGATGGGTTTCTAACATGTTTTTTAATTGCTCTTATGAACACACTGGCTAGGAAGACAGAAAGCATTTCCTGACAGCTTAGTAGACTGGAAAAAATAACTCAGACGAGCTCCCCGCTGCATGCCACCACTAAGTGGGACAAGCAGCCCTTATTGCACACACACTGATTGACAAGCACTTCTCTGCTCCCAAACACAATGCTGAAACTAACTTGGGCTGATGAGAGTCAGATAGCAATCCTTTCTCACTGATGGGAGATGTCAGGTAGAAAGCCACAAAATGGGAACATTTGGCATAGAGAGGATGCTCAGAAGCAACAGGAAAGGAGCAGGCCTTCGAAGCGGGGCAGCAAACAAATGCCTCAATACTGGGACTTAACCTGCAGCAAGCAGGGAGGATGCCCAGGACGCCTGCATGGCAGCCAGGCCAGCAGTACTCGCTCGCTGAGGGCTCCAGGGTGAGGAGCAGGACAAGTCTCAAGCAGGACAGAGGAGATGCTGGCTAGCTGGGAGCTACAGGGACAGCTCACAGGAGTATAAGGGCAGTGTGTCATCTGCACAAAACCGAGCAGACTGCGGCATCTGTAACATAGGAGGGAACTGCAGATGCTGTTTGGATAATGAACAGCACAGCGTGGCAGCGTGGGCAGCCTCTGGAGAGGGGCAGCCAGACAGAGCAACTCAAGGTGGACCCATCCCGCCACCAGCCACTTCTTGGTCACCTCTGGGTTAAGCAAACTATGTTTTATATCAGATTGGCTTGTTTAAAATCATCTTTGTCCTTGGTGGAGAGGGTTTTCTTTACAAGCACCATGAGCAGACAGACTGATGGGGTCAGCAATGAGAAGACTGCATTTTCCAGACAGTGAACGGGGACATACAAGAAGG